CAATCTTGACTTCTCTCTCTTCAAGGCCTCCTTTCTCTGTGTCACTGTCTCAAATCTCTATCACCATTCTCATCTGAGGTCAGTAGTCATTCATTGGATTTAGGATCAACCCCAAATCTGGGATGATCTGAACTTTAGGTGGTCAACTTAATTACACCTACAAAGACCTAATGTCCCAGTAAGGTCACATTCATCACAGCTAGAGGATTTTAGGACTTAAAAATGGAGGAATAATTTTTTTTGTGGGGGGAGAATAATTTACCTCACTACACCCTCCAATGAAATGAAAGAAGGTTATCCTGTAATTCTGAGGATTCAGTGTTTCCTGAAAAAGAAAAGGAAAATGTTTACTTGTGATATGTTATATACATTACTCTCATTTATTCTATGAAAAATACATTGCAAAACCCCCGGGGGAAGCCTGAAATCTTGGCTAGAACCAAACCCTCTATATACTATGTTTTCCCTTGTACAAGGAGACTTATGATAAAGTCTAAGCTACTTCTGTACTGTGGGACCATTATTAAGTAAGATGAGGGTTGCTTCAACACAAACACTTCAATATTATGACAGTGGATCTGATATCCAAGATGGCTACTAAGTGGCTAACAAGCTGGTAGGGACTCTGGGCAGATGCTCTGGATGATTCATGTCCCAGGAAGGGCAGAGAGTGACAGTGTTGGGTTCCACCAGAATGGCATGCCATTTAAAACCTAGAACTGTGCCCTGGCTGGCGTAGCTCAGTGGATTGAGCACGGGCTGGGAACCAAAGTGTCCCAGGTTCGATTCCCAGCCAGGGTACATTCCTGGGTTGCAGGCCAAAACCCCCAGCAACCACACATTGATGTTTCTCTCTCTCTCTCTCTCTCTCTGTCTCTGTCTCTCTCTCTCTCCCCCTCCATTCCCTCTCTCTCTCCCTCCCTTCCCTCTCTCTCTCCCTCCCTTCCCTCTCTAAAAATAAATAAATAAAATCTTAAAAAAAATACCCTAGAACTGTCTCTTAATGGAAACTTCCGTTTAATATTCCCAAATCATGGTTGACTTCAGGTAACTGAAACTGAGGAAAACAAAATGCTGGAGAAGAGGGAGACTACTGTAGTACATTATATTCAGTGAGTAGAGACATTGTTGATGTAAATGTCTTGCATTCTAAGTGTTGTATAATAAGGTCTTTAGGATTCTCTTCTACAACTTGTGTTACTAGGTCAGAGACAGGTGTATTTTTAAGGATTTTAGTGCATATTTCAAACTACCCTTCATTAACCTCTAATGTACTGTGCTGCAACTCTTCAGGGCCAGGCAGGTTCATGGCATCCACACAAATGGAATAATTAATATTCATGGAGCCATTGACATGTTTGGCATGCCTTTTTTCATGGGTGGGCAAACCGGGCATGCTGCAACCTGCATGTTTATCTGCATGTCTTTGTGTGGCACAGATCATGTCCCTTGTTCCCCAGTGTGGTGACCATCATGGTTCCTGTTCCTTTGCATGTGTCTCCCATCATTGCCCCCAGCAGGGATTTCCTAACAGTTTAAGTGCTGGAGGGGAACAAAGCTGGCAAGAGGACAGAAATTAGATAGCATAACATAATTCTGCACATGTGAGCCCACTTCACATTATGGTAACAGTTTATCAGTCCGGGTCTCCAGGCTATGAGGACACTACTTATCAGGTCCATTCAAGGCTGTGGGAACACTGCTTCCCTTAGCTACCCAGACACCAGGGGGAGGCAGCCAGACTGCCTTCACTTACCCTACACGTACCGATAGTATATGACAGTACCCACTTCATACTTTCAGTCATATTAGAATATTATTTCTTAATATTTTACAAGTTTCATAGTTTAATAATGATAGCTTGCATGCTTTAGAGTATAGTTTGCTTGCATGTCTTTTTTCTTAGAACTATTTATGTTAGTTTTCTTTCCGCAATCCAGTGAACAGCACTTTTGTTTTGTGTATAACGGAGGGGGGTGAAGAGATAACAGGAGGGGGAAGGGTTCCGGATCCAGGAAAGCAGCACAGTGGGCTTCTTGGCCCCAAGCATTCAAGCCGAGTTCTGAAGAGCTCTAACAAAATACAAAGCCTGAAGTTATGTATTCTGGAAGCTTGGGTGCCTGGGTGCTGTCGGGGATGTGGGTGTCCAGGGGAAGCCAGGGGAACAGACATGCCAGGAGTGGAGCAGGAGCAGGGAGTCTGGGCTGCATGCTGTCCTCCATGCCCCTGGACCGACCAGCTGTATGTGCAAGTGGTGGCTCCCAGGTGCTGGGTGCCTCACAAGGGATGGGAGGGTTTGCTTTGTCCTTGGCACTGTGGTGCCTGCTCTGCAGACTGGCAGCTGCCAGTGACAGTCGTGGAATTGTCAGGATGCTGGGTGATATTTTGACTGGATGGTGTAAACCCTAGGCTGGTTGGTGGGTATCCCAATGACCAGGTAGGGGCAGGGCCAGGGAATGTGAGGATGGGGCTCTAGCCTGGTGGAGTGCACACAAAGTCTATGTGAGTTATTTTAAGGTATGTGGTATGTATCTGGCAACGTATTTTTGTAAAAACAGCTTTTCCTTCTTCCAGTGGCTCATTCTCATTACCAAAAATATTGCACACTATAAAAAAGAGATGTTTATTTAAAAAGCTCACACCAACAACTTATTACCATTGATAAACACAAGGAGTTTAGGCCTCCAGAAATTCCTCTGTCCAAATTTTGGCTGTGCCTATGTATATGAATAAGTTGAACAATCCAAAATTAATTCACATTTACATACTGCATTATAACCTAACTGTTAAAGCATTTTATTAATTTAGAGTATCTTGATAATATGGAATTGTGGAGCAATTCACATAATAAATAATTTGTTGGAAACTTAATAATACAATTTTTAAATACTGTAGATGGGGGAAATAGAGTTTTTTAAAAAGATTGTGAAGCCTGATACTGTAAAAAACATAATCATTTCAGTCATGATATCCTGATTGCCAACTGGAGTTTCATCAAATTGCTTTCACCAAATCACGTGTATTTTAGTACATATCTTGGCTCTCCAAACACAGAACTAAATATAGTCATTCACATTTTTATCTCAAGTGCCACCTTAACCTCTAAAGACTGGGGAGAAATTGAACTGGATTGAAACAGTTTAAATAGCCATCTGCAGATGAAAGAATTTCAGATTCTAGACCATAGGAAAAGACTGAAATTAGTACTGAAGGGAAGAACTTATATTCAAATACCACGTTGAAATAAAGTCAGATATGGGGGCAGTAATGGAAGTAGAATGTGGGAACATTTTCACAAACATTAGCCAGAAACTGACAAAATTTTGCCTTGTGGCTGTTGTTACAAATCAATGTCCAGGATGAACCAACAACAAGGGATGGGGGTGGGGGTTAAAGACATTATTTCTGGAGATTATGGAAGGGATTTATCTAACCAACGATGTCCTCGTCTGTCCCACAGGTTTTCAACACTATAGAAACAGAACTGGGGAGGGGCTTCCAGGGTCCTTTTATAAGTGCTGCTCAAAAGCCAGGTTCATTCTGCTTGGAGGCCTTTGGTGTTGGCTGGACTGTGAAAAACTCAGAAGGTCACAACTGCCTTCTGGTACTGAGAGCCCAGACAACACAGAACCCTTGACCCAACAAGCATCCATGAGAAGAATTACACAATCCTCAGGTGAGCACACACTTTTATGTAGATGAGTTCTTCTTTCCTTAAAAATTAGAAATGACAATTTGAAAATCAGCTGGCTTGCCCTGGCTGGCGTAGCTCAGTGGATTGAGCGCAGGCTGGGAACCAAAGTGTCCCAGGATCGATTCCCAGCCAGGGTACATTCCTGGGTTGCAGGCCATAATCCCCAGCAACCGCACATTGATGTTTCTCTCTTTCTGTTTCTCTCTCTCTCTCTCTCTCTCTCTCTCCCCCTGCCTTCCCTCCCTAAAAATAAATAAATAAAATCTTAAAAAAAAAAAAGAAAATCAGCTGGCTTAAGATTTTACTAAAAAATGTAATTTGCCTAGTTAAATTAAAATGATGGAATTATTTAGTTTACTCTTCTATAAATTTTAATGTTATTGTTATTTTTTTATTATTGTTATTGACATTTAGTTTTCCATAATTTTTTTTTATTTTATGTTCCTTGGCTGCACAAATTGTGATACCTAGAGGGAAAGGTCTAGATTTTGTGTGGTTTCTCATTTAGGCATGAAACCTGAAACTTAATTGGAAAACCTTGTTGTGGAAGAGTAAAAGGGACAGATGATTGAAAATGAATAAAAATTTAAGCTAATAAAATTTTAGACGTTCCATAATTCTCATTTGATCCTGGACTTTTGAAGGGAGAAGTAGTATGGTTCATTAGAAGTATTCATTGCTCTGTTCTACAAATAATCTCTACATTAGTCATTTCCTCCAAGTTTAAAATTCATTCATAAAATATACCAGTGTGGAATGCATGTCTCCTTAGCTTGTTTCATTTTGATTCTAGCCTGTACATTCTGCACAGACACCTGAGCACACTTAAAAGGTGGCCACACTAACGGCACTAGAGATCAATAGCCCTATCCCTTTTTGACATTTCTCTTTTCTTTTTAATTTTTGCTTTTCTTCCCTAGGGCTTTTTTCTTACATTGAGCCCTGAGTAGCCAGTCATCATTGTATCTAAGAAAGGCCCTGATGAGATCCGGCAAAAGCAGGGTAGAATGAAAGGTGACAGGATGATTTTGAAATGTGACAATATAGCACATGACAGGTAAGCAAAATTTCCCTTCAGAGGTAGGCAGGTTTTCATTTATTTTGTTAAGGCAAGTCAATTACATGAGGGACATATCCCAAGTGGGTTGTGGTTTTCTCATTCACTTCTTCTCTTTCTCCTTAGAAACACAGAACCACGCTTTGCAAAACTTCTGAAATAGCTCAACTGCTAAGTCTTAAGAGTGAAGATATTTGAAGTTCTGCTGTGGAGTCTGCATACCTTTGTAAGGGGCTCAAATTCCTAGAAATGGCATCAAGTAATGGCCAAGACCAATGGCCCAAAGAAGACATTGAGATGTTACTGGACCTCCTAGAGGATAATCTCCCACCCAATGACAATAACACATTCAAAGCAACCCAGTCACAGATGGACTGGGGAAAAGTAGCTTTTAAAGATTATTCTGGAGAAATGTGCAAGCTCAAGTGGTTAGAAATTTCTAATAAAATAAGAAAGTTTCATACTTTGACAGAAATAGTTCTGGAAACTAAGGAATATTTGAAAAAGTCTTACGAAAGGAAAACACTCAAGAACCACCCCCACCTACCCAAGTGGCCCCTGACTGCTTACTTCCGCTTCTGCATGCAGAACAGGGCCCAGTACTCCCAAATATACCCTGAGTTGAACAACCTGGAGCTGACCAAGGTCCTGTCTAAGAAATACAAGGACCTCCGAGAACAAATGAAGCTGAAATACATTCAAGATTTCGAGAAAGAGAAAGAGGAGTTTGAGGAGAAACTGGCTCAGTTTAGGAAGGACCACCCTGATCTAGTCCAGAATACCAAGACTTCTGTTGTACCTAAAAGGAGACCAACCAAAGCCCAAAAGGAACTTCAGGAAAATGTGGAAAATGTGAAATCTCCCTCAGAAAACTATTTTTCTGGGAAGATAAAATTCATATTTCTGTGACTAGGAGAGCTCAAGAAGCCCCCAATGAATGAATACCACAAGTTCCACCAGGACTTGTGGTCAAGTAGGGAGCTGCAAGACCTGCCCCCAAGGGAGCGCATGGTGGAGATTGACAGACGCTGGCAGAGAGTCCCACTGAGCCAGAAGCAGCATTACAAGAAGCAGGCCGAGGAGCTGCAGAAACAGTACAAGGTGGACCTGGATCACTGGCTCAAGAGTCTGTCCCCTGAAGAATACACTGCTTACAGAGAGAGAACCTATACTAAGCGTAAGAACATGAACATGAATGGAGGCCCGGACGCCAAGATCATCAGGACAGATGTGCTCTGTCCTTCAGCAAGGGCTCTGCAAGAAGGGCTCTGCAAGGAGGAGCAGGGGCTGCAGGCTCCAGAGACAGAATCATCAGGGACTAAAGGGGCCCATTCTCATGCCTCACACACATCAGAAGAAAATAAGGAAGATGCAGAAAAGGCAGAAAGCAGTAGCTCCTCAGACTCCAGCAGTGGGGAAGAAGATGAAGACTGTGAGGACAGCAGCTGCAGCTCATCTTCCTCAGGGGTCACCTCTGACTCAAACTGAGCTTTGTCCATTCCCAAAATGGTGGGACAGAGAGCTTCCCAACAAAAGTCCCTGACATCTGCAACAAAAGGAAGGGCTGGTCTTCCTTTCCCTTTTATTTCTTTGTTTGTTCCTTCATCACCCCTACCCCTCCTAAGTACAGGGTGGAACACTTTGGGGATTATGTAATTTGGGACAATACTCTTAATATCAGGTCCATAAACCTGGGAGGAGTGGGTCTTGCTGGGAGGGAAATATAAGTTTTGAGCATGTATGGGGTCCTCCTTCAGCATGTTTACCCCTCCCCAGGAACTCTGTGTGGTGAAGGCTCTTGAAAGAGATGATTGGGCTGTGGAGGTCACATTGCTTTAGACTGAGTGTTTCTGAAGTAAGCGGTTTTGCTTTTGGAATGTGTTGATGGTTGCCATTCGTGAGGGCATTGGGGGGATAGGTGAATAAGGTGAAGGCATTAAGAAGCACAAATTGCTTGCTATATAATAATCATGGAGATGTGAAGTACAACATAGGGAATATGGGAACAATGGACTAATAACTATGTATAGTATCAGATGGGTGTGAAATTTATTGGGATGATCACTCATTAAGTTATGTAATGTCTGATCACTGGGGTGTACACCTGAAACTAATGTGATAATGTATGTCAACTGTAGTTTTTAAGAAATGATTTTTTAGAAAGTTTTACTTTCCCCATTTTCTGTGTGCCAGAGGTTGTCTGTGGCCACCTTGAGCCTGTGGCTCCCACACTCCCTACAAGAACTGTACCTCTGGACTCTTGCACTGTCTGGTGTGTGGCAGGAGTTGGCTACTCTGAAATGTGAGATTGGGAAGCTCATGTAGGAGGCAATATTTATATTTATATATCTATATATATGTATATATGTATATATATTTAACTTTTTCATCTCTGTGAGACTTACATCTCTATAATTTCAAATATATAGAGACAAATATATGTATATTTCTTAAAGTTCGCTATTTCATTTGATAAGTGCCTCTGTAGAACAGAGGCCAAAATTCCTTCCTGTTGCTCCGGGTGCAAGTGAGTCTCCTACCTAGCATTCAGGATTGATGGTGGGAGAAGAGACAGACACACAAGGCACACAGATAAATACATAGATACTGAGCTATAGACATAGATATGTACACTATTCTATTCTACCGGTCTGTCTGTGAATTCTTGTCCCAGTGCCCCATTCATTTGATTATTTGGTTTACTGATATGTTTGAAAATCCATTTAAGGTTATTGCCCTCTTATTAGATCGTTTTCCTGTATATTTTTGGCTATTTCCATGTTGTTTTCTCATGCATACAAGGATTATAAAAGTAATTGTATCATTTTCATATGAAAACCATTAACATTTGAGCATTTAGATAACTAGATATTTTAGTGAATTATTATTGTTTTTCTAGGTAATCTGTTTAAAAAATAATGGTAATATTAACACTTTTCATACCTCTCATACTTTTTTCTAAATGTTTTTTTGAATATCCAGAACAATGTTAAGTAATAACAGTGAGAAGTATTAGTCTTGCTTCTGACTTTCAAACTAATGTTTAAAAGATTTACCTGACTTGCATAGCTCAGTGGATTGAGTGCAGGCTGTGGACCAAACTTTCGCAGGTTCGATTCCCAGTCAGTACATGCTTGAGTTGCAGGCCATGACCCCCAGCAACCACACATTGATGTTTCTCTGTCTCTCTATTTCTCCCTCCCTTCCCTCTCTAAAAATAAATAAATAAAATCTTACAAAAAAAGATTTACAATTCAAAATATGCTGATTGATACATATTTAAAATAAAATATAACCTGTTCAGTAAATGCCACTTTACTTATATTGTTGTTTTTATTACAAAATGTGTTTTATTATCTAGGAAATCACTTCTATGAGCTATCAGTGAAATTTTCCTCAAGTATATTAGTGTCAGAAATTGGGTTATTGTGCTACCTAATATTAAACCCTCATGGGATTCCAGAAATAAACCCACTTTTTTATTCCATATTGAAGAGATGATTAGAGAATAGACAAATTTTCCATCCTTTCCTATGCTGGGAACGTAACATTTACATCAAGTTCCTGGATATGTTTCTTACATCCACTAATTTTTCTTTTTACTTTATTTCTGTTAGTGACACTATTATAAATGTTGCCATTTCCATACCCCACTTTGGCCACCTCCACCCAATCACCTGCCCCCTTCACCCTCTTTTACATAATCTAGATTTGAATTGACTTTCCCCTCAGTAATAATAACTGAGTGGGGGCAACAGGGTGACAGAAATACAACATGTTAATTATTACAATGAAGCTGAAGGTTTCCCACTTCTCTCTTCCTAGAAAGGTAAAATGTATTTAGGGTAGAAGAACCAGGGGGGGAAATCTCTCTCAGAGCCATTCCAGACACCTAGACTGGGCTAGACTGGCACTTAGTCTCTTTCACTTTGTATAACATCAGAGAGAAATCCAATGGCAAATATCACATCATCACCTGGGTGCCACAGTGTGCATGTGTGCAAAAGACCAGGGGAAGGGTGGGTATCCCTTGTGCCATGATGCTTGAACTGAGTCTCAAGGAGCTGGCAAGTTCAAGAGGGAAAATGAGATTGTGGAGTGATTTGCTTCATACCTTCACCACACCTACTGAATGGCTCTCCTTTTCAAGGACCAGAAAGTCCTGGTTTCCTAACATAGCCTCTCAGTGTCTCCTGCTGCTTTCCCTGTCATGGCGATCTGCATACTCTCATTTTAGTCTCTATAATTTTCTGGCATGGCCTAATTATGGTCCATGAGTTTATTTATCATTCTAATATCGAGGAGTCCCGTATCCACAGGAATTCATATCACAAAGTAATGATCTTATTGAGTCTGTTGCATACCTATCCAGGTAGAGGTTGTGAAACATTCCCAAGGCAGGGCAAATCTGCTTCCTAGGGCTGAGCTGTTCCTGGGGACTGACATAGTTCTCACACTCAAGAGAATTTGTTTCATCTATTTTTCACACCTGTCACCTGCTATATACAGAATCAACAAGCCACCAGGGTTTTCTCACTGCTGGCTATTACCTCTCCCCTCTTATCCCCAGTTCCACTGGCTGTGACTCTGAGGTATTTAACTTTCTCATCGCTCAGAGGATGTAGCACCTTCTCCTTTGTATAGGTAGACTGTCAAGAACAAAAAAAGGAAATCAGGAATGAAGAGGTTTTCTTTATTAATTTTTTAGTTTGTTTTGCAACATTTCCATTGAAACTGACACATGAATTCACTGAGAATAGCAACAAAAATACATGTCTACATGCAGTGGTGGAGGGGAAAAAGATCGAGGAAAAAAACTGAAGGAAGATCCCAATAATGTATGTCTTCACTTTAGTATATCCTTCCTGGAATCTGTGCAAACTCTGAAGAAGCATCAGCCAGTGTTAAGAGTCACACTCACCTATTCGATATGTCTCCAAAACCCTGTGAGGAGAAAAACGGAAAGGTTTAATGCTTTTCACAAATGAATCTTCCACTAAGTCCAGAGTGAGATTTTGAGACAGTTCCAGAAGTTATTATTTCCCCTCTGTGTTCTTTCCTGGGAAACGTGCCTACTTTCTCCCTAATAAAAACCTCAGTTTACCATACTGTCATATTTTAACGTCCTTCTGGGGACTGATTCTTGGAGACTTTCCCTGTGCCAGTGAAGGGGGAAGACACTGGGGGGAGTCCCTGTTCTGTACTGTAACTATGATTCTCTGGAGTCTTTCCTACTTCCAAAGTGGGAGGACCCAAAAGTGACAGCAATGTGAGTCTACATTCCCAAATCTTTCCATATTGCCATGTGTATGAATTAACCTAAATAAATGTCAATTAACAACTAACCACTTTGTGAATTTTCACAAAGCCAAAAATATCATTGACTTTCGGATGTGGAATATAACTCAGGACTCCTTAACCATTCCTGAGTTTGGTTTCTCATGGGTCATGTAGGAGGGATCTTTGGTCCCTTGGTGGAGCAATACCCTCCCAACAAAGTAACTGTACTTATGGAATTACATTTTTGGCAGGGGAAATGATGTGAAAGAGAAAGTGGATTTCAGCTGGAAGAATACCAGTGCACGTGAACGTCCAAAACCCCACTCCTCAGTTCTTACCAGGAGCAGCTCTACATCTGGTTTACAGCACATTTCCTTCAGCACTTTATACATTCCTCTTAAAAGCTCCCTTTTGTGAGCCATCTTGGTTTTCCTTTTCTTGAGTAACTGAAAAACCTCCTTGCCTTCCCTTTGCAATCTCTCAAAATGATGTTGCTCCTCCTCATGGAGAAAGGGAGGCCTTTTTCCAAACTCAGGACTGATTGCTTCTCTCTTTAAATTCACATAATTCTGCAATGGCATTTAGTTAGTCAAAACATGAACACTTTTATCAATCTCCTACTGAATCTCACTAATTCTTCTTTGTCTCATGAAGATTAATTATTTTTAACTTTAACCCTCAGTCTTTCCAATTCTCATAACCCACAAAATTTTGTATTTCCTCTTTTCTACATTAAGATCAAAATATTTCTATCAACTGATTATATCCACTTAATTCATAATGAAGTGTCCGATAAGATAATCATAAAGAAATACAAAATGTCTGATATCTATCTTCAAGCCAATATGTGTGAGAAGGCAACATAGTTCATTCATAAAAGCTATACATTGTTTAGCTTTATAGTATTTGGATTAGAATCCATTATTTAGCCTGATTTCTGAAATCTGGGACAAGTTCCTTAAACCCATTTCATATGCTGTGACTTCGGACCAATACGCTCATCCCCTTGCATTTCAGCCAGCTAAATTCTACTCTAATAAAGTTCCACTTACATCTGATCTGCATTATCTCTTTGACTTTACTTCCCTTCATCCTCCTCTTAATTCACTCTGACACTCTTTGTGGCTTTTCAGCTGCCCCAAATATACCCTCCTGCAATACCTTTGCATGTGTAACTTTCTCCACCTAGAATTCTCTCTGTACATACC